GCAGATCACGCACTCTACCTGTATTTCCCTGCTTGTTATGTCTTTATTTTAGTTTGTTATAGGGTGCATGTGCTGGCCAGAGAGAGAAAGAGAGAGAGAGGAAAAGTGAGAAAGCACCCCCTCAGGGGGATGGCCACGCATCAATCCCTTCTCCTCCATTCTCCTCTCAGGATTTTGGGCATGCACACACATGCACTTGGTGTTTTTTTCAAGCCTCCAGACCTGGGACTCAAACTACACAGTTGGCCATGTGGGATCCAGCCACCTTAAACTCCATGCCATGTGCTGGCCCCAATTCCTTATCATTAAAAAAAAATTACTTATTTAAATTTATTATTTATTTATTATTTAATTTTCTATAGGACACACACACTCACCAGAGAAAGTGAGAAAGTAAGCTGCCAAATCTGGGACTCGAACTGATGTCAGCCATGTGGAAGTCCAGCACCCCAACCACCACGCCACCTGCCAGCCCCCAATTCTTATCATTTTTTGGGGGGGGAGAGGTTTTTGCCATAGGGCATGTGCGCTCGCCAGACAGACAGAGAGAGAGAGACAGAAAGCGAGAAATCCCCCCCCCCGGGGGGGGATGCCCATCCTGCAATCCCTTCTCCTCCATTCTCCTCTCGGGATCTTGGGCATGCACGCACACGCGCCCAGCGTGAGTTTTAAGCCACCAGGTCTGGGATGCGAACCGCGGTTGACTACATGGGAGTCCAGCGACATAGCCATTATGCTAACTGCTGGTCCCAATTTCTTATCATTTTTAATAGTCACACAGTATCCTGTTTTAAAGATATACCATTTTTATTTAACCAAGCTCATACTGACATACAGCTTATGTCTACTGTTTTGCTATTCTGATCAATACTAAAATGTGGTATTATCATTCAGGAACATTTTGGGATATACATAGACCATTACAGACAGATTGGAAGGCATGTGTTTTATCTCAGAACCTACCTGACCTCAAGTGCTACTCCCAACTCCTCCCCCCAGTTTCCTTTTTAAAAAAGTAATTGCCAGAGGATTCATGCCCTTGTCAAAGACACATACAAACACAAAGAGAGATAGATAGAAAGGGAGAACACATCCCCCCCCCCCAATAAGGCATGGTCACACCACAATCTCTTCTCTTCCATTCCTCTATCTTCTCATGATTTAGAGCACGCACACATATATGCCTGGCAATCAAGTCACTGGGGCCAAGATTCAAACTGTGGTTGGCCATGTAGGATTCAGCTCTCTTAACCACTAGGCCACAGGACCAACCCTCCCCATATTTCCTTATAAATGTAGTAAATTCACTTTTATAAGTGTTAATCTTTAATCAAAGCAATGCATACATATAGTTTTTAAAAATCAAACAGCGCAAAAGGACACATAATGAGAAGTAATAATCACTGTCTATCTTCTCAATTCTTGGTTTCCCACTCCAGAGGCAAATGCTTTATACATGTCTATTTAGTGCTTATCACTATTTTTCTAAATAATATGCTTTTATTACTATCTCTTGGCTTGATGACATATGTCATTTTCTAATGAATTCTTTTTTTTTTCAGCTGTTCCTTCCCCCCTCCTCAGATATATTTTTATCAGTATTTTTAATGCAGCTGTTGGCTTCTTGTTACCTTGTTTATTTTAATAATGCAATACCCAAACCCCTTATTCTCTCAATTATAGACAGTATTTGGGCATGCTTTTTCTTTTTTTGTTAAGATAACTAGTTTTTTTATTTAATTTAATTTATTTATTTTTTAATTTGCTACAGGACATGTGTGCTTATCAGAGAGAGAGAAAGTGAGAAAGCAAGCTGCCAGGTCTGGGACTTGAACCACAGTCAGCCATGTGGGAGTCCAGTGCTTTAACCACCACACCAACTGCTGGCCCCTGGACATGCTACTTTTTAAAAGAATTATTTATTTAATTGTATTATTATTATTGTTATTATTAGTTTGCTATAGGGCACACACTCACCAAAGAGCAAGAAGGAAAGTGAGAAAGCAAGCTGCCAAGTCCAGGACTTGAATCGCTGTTACCATGTGGGAGTCCAGCCTTAACCACTCTACCTCCTGTTGGCCCCTGGACATGCTACCTTAAGTGAATAGCACCACTATTCCCTTCCCTTCCCTCTGCCTGCCAATTTGTTGAGTGTACTCATGTACTGTCTAAGTTGGTCACATTCCCATTTCTTTTTCTGCAACCAAAATTGCTTGCCTTGAGGTTTACTCTAAAAATTAAAAGCCATAAATAATATTCACATTACAATGATTACTTATACAGCGGTCACTGAGTAGCAAAGTTGAATGTTGTTGTTGAATTTTCCCGTCTGTGACTCCGGAATCTTGGTCCATGTCTGCCAGTGTTCAGAGATTCCCTCCCATACTTCCGGCAATTGTTCAGATCCACGCCACGTCTGAGGCTGCTTCATTTCTGAAGCATGATTTTCGTGTACAGTTAGAAATGTTTGGTTCTCCCTGTAGTTTGTCTTTGTTTTTTCTTTGGGGATGAAGTAATGTATGCCTTCCAGATGATGTCATTAATTCCCCCCAGCTTCTTCCTCAGTCATCTGTTGCTTAGAATTCATTCCATTCATTTGGAAGTCTCTTCTAATTTGGAAGATTTGCCTGCTGTGTGGACCATTCTTCCACCATTTATTATAGCTTACAGTTTTAGTTATCTTTACTTTTTTTCTTAACCTATCTTGTGCCAGTTGTCATTTTCTAAAGTTCACGGATGCCAGAACTTCTCAAATATTTCTGAGGCTTTTCAGGCTTTAAAGGTTTTTTTTTTTTTCTGTTCCTTGAATTATTTCCTTGGGAATCAATTTTTCGTCTTATCTTAGGTCATTTTGGTTAGATTGCAGGCTCTTGCGAATGCTGTTTTTTTCACCGCCTTTTGTAGTAGTATAAAAGATAATGCATGCGATGGAAAGACTGGAAAGTCTGCATGCGCAAGCAGAGCTGGTTGCTTTGCTCCAGGGTGGCTGGGTTGCAGGGTGGAAGTCAGCCATCCTGGCAAGGGAGTCCCCAAATGCCATAAAGTTAGTGACTCTAAATATGTACCTGCAGGTGGACGTTGAGCACCACCGAGGCCGTGACGTAGAAGTAGGGGAAGTTCGCGTGCAGCCGCCAGGCCAGGTTGAAGAAGGTGAGCAGCGTGCGTGTGAGCGCTTTGCTGAAGGTGCTGTAGGAGCCTCCGGACGCCACCGAGTGCGACAGTCGCACCGCCAGACCCGCCAGGGCCGCCCCCGCCCCTGCCGCCATGGGCCTGATGTGACCTCCCATACAGTGCCCGGAGCCCAAGGCCTCCAGCAGGCTCTATAGACCCACTGCCCGCGGGACAGGGACACCGGCGCGGGAAATCCCAGCGGGAGGCCGGCTGCGCGCCAGCAGGTCAGGAAATCGGGGAGCCTGGGGCCAGCGGGACGCGTGCTGACGCAGGAGACCTATTGATAGTTTCCTGAACCGTGCTACTCTTTACATTTTATTTTATTTTATTTTATTTTATTTTATTTTATTTTATTTTATTTTATTTTGAGAATTTTAAACAAATCAACAGAAGCAAAGTGAAACTTGCTCAAGACAATGGGAAATTTCTCGCAGACACATGATTTGGAGCATCTCAGAAGCGTGAACCCATTTCCTGTTGCCTCAGATCCTTTCAGGAGCCTGGTCAGTCCTGACTCTAAGCTAGTACGAGTCCAAACTCCCAACTTTTTTTCTTTTTTTTTAAGTTTTCCTATAGGGTATGTGTGCTCACCCGAGATAAAAAGAAGGGAAGGGGGCGGGACCAGCAGATGGCGTAATAGTTCCGTCGCTGGACTCCCATGTAGTCAGTCAGGCTGTATTTTTTGTTTTATGGATGCCAGAACAAGATTGCTATTCGAGTCTTGGGCCCCGTGGCTTAAAACACACGCAAGGTGTGTGTGTGTGTGTGTGTGTGTGTGTGCATGCCCAAGATCCCGAGAGGAGAATGGAGGAGAAGGGATTGAGGTGTGGTCATCCCCCAGCAGGTGATTTCTCGCTCTCTGTTTCTCTGTCCCTCTCTGTCTCTCTCCGTCTCTTCCGGGAGCGCATGCACCCTATAGCAAAAATCTCTGAGAGAGAGAGAGAGAATGAGAAAGCGCCTTTCTTCCCCCCAGGGAGGAGGGATGACCACACCTCAATCCCTTCCCCTCCATTCTCCTTTTGGGATTTTGAGCACCCAAAATCCTGGTGTTTTCTTAAGCCTCTGGGTCTGAGTCTCTAACCGCACAGTAAGGCATGTGGGATTACGCTGCCTTAACCTCCTCCCCATCAGCTTCCCCAACTCACAATTTTTCTGAATGTTAAAAAGTGTACATTTTGTTTGAACCAAGCAAGCAGTTTCTTTGATTTTGCTTAGTTCTTCTGTATTCTTGTAATTGGTAAAGTCATCCAAACAAGTTTTTAGACATTTTCAAAGCTGAAACTTGTAAAATAATGGAAAGCAGATTCCCTTCCTAGCTTCACATTCCACATCCCACTCTTGCTTCGAACTCTGACATTTACTCTACCTACTTCCAGACTGCATGTGTTAGCACGCTGCTCCTATCCTAGCAATAATAACACCTACCTCACTCTCTTTGACTGAACATTACACAACATGTAAATTGACAATAACATTCAATAATTATTTAACCAATCCTTTATTGATGGACACTCTGAACGTTCCCAGTTTTTTCTGTGCTAAAAATCACATCTTCACTGTTGTACAAGCGGCAGAAAAGTGTGAATGATACGACCTCATCTTTATTTATAAAACAGTCACATATACATACACAGTGTTCAAAGTCAAAACGTTTTACTGGTCCATCAGATGGCATGGTAATTAAGGTGGCTAAATTCCACACGGCCCATGATGAAGTTCAAGTCCAGGGCCCAGGGACTTGAGAAACACACTGGATGTATGTGTGTGTGTGTGTGTGTGTGTGTGTGTGTGTGTGTGTGCCCAAAATCACAAAAGGAGAAGAGATTTCAGTGTGGCCATTCTCCCTGAGGGATGCTCTCTCTCTCTCTCTCTCTCGCTCTCTCTCTCGTGAGTGCACATGCCCTCTAGCAAAATTTAATTTTCTTTTTTTTTTCTTGGGGAGGTTTTTGCTATAGTGCATGGTGTGCGTGCCAGAAAGACAGCAAGAAACAGAAAGTGAGAAATCACCCCCCCGGGGGGATGGCCATGCTGCAATCCCTTCTCCTCCATTCTCCTCTCAGGATCTTGGGCATGCACGCACATGCACCTGGCATGAGTTTAAGCCACCAGGTTTGGGACTCGAACCATGGTTGACTACATTGGAGTCCAGCGACATAGCCATTACACCAATTGCTGGTCCTTTAAAAAAAATACTTTTTAAATTTTATTTGTTGTTATTATTATTGTTATTAATTTGACTAGAGAGAGAGAGAGAAAAGGAATGTGAAAAAGCAAGTTGCCAGGTCTGGGACTCAAACTGTGGTCGGCCATGTGGGAGTCTAGCACCTTAACCATCATGACCCCTGCCAGCCTCTAAAAAAGTTTTACTAATACATATCATGGATCAAAAAAGTTTAGAGACCAGGGCTCCATACAACATTGTTACAATCTTAAATTCTTTTTTTGCCAATATGATGGGCAATGATTACATTTACTTAATCTTCTAATTTGCATTATCAAATGATTTTTCTGAATTTCTTCATCTTTCGATATTGCTTTTCTAATTGCTTGTAAAGCATTAAAATACTACAAATATGTATTATGAGAAAAGTAAAAATCCTAGGCTCATAACTTTCAAAAAGACTGTTAACATATTGGTATATATTTTTATCCATTATATATCCATTTTGCATATATATGGTTTTTTTAAGAGGTTTTTGCCTTAGGGTGCATGTCCTCACTAGAGAGAGACAGAGACAGTGAGAGGGAAGGTGAGAACTCACTCCCCCGGGGGCATGGCCACTTCACAATCCCTTCTTCTCCATTCTCCTACTGGGATTTTAGGCATGCACACATACACACACCTGATCTGAGTTTCAAGCCACTGGGTCTGGAACTTGAACCGTGGTCAGCCATGTGGGAGTCCAATGATGTGACCACTATGCAATCTGCTGGCCCTCATTATTTGCAATATTAACAAGTGCAGACATATATTCATAAATACACATGCAAATCATACAAACATACTATTCTGACTACTGCTCTTGAATATAATAATATATTGGGTTGTTGGAAAAGTCATGACTCATTTTTGCACAGAAAAAAGGTCACAATTTTTCCAACAACCCAATATTTGCATATCTTTCCATGTTGATACCTTACTGGCTGTGTATTATTTCTTATGGATGGCTGATAATGAACTGATCCCTTAGTAATGGATGTTTGGATGGCTTCACAATTTTAACAATCATAAATAATGCTGAGATTAACATCCTTGCATGTACATCTTTGTGAACCTTTTTGATAGGTCCCTGGGATATATTCCCAAGGGTGGAATTTTTTAATCAAAAGGTTTTCATCTAAGGATTTTGATACATATAGTCAAACTGCCAATCACATAGCCTGTACTAATGTATCCATGAGCACACTCTCAACTTTGCTAATAATGAACATTGACCTATTTAAAAATCTTTGACATTCTGGTAGGTGAAAAAGTTATCTCATTATTGTTTGAATTTACATATTTTGATAACTAGCAAGGCTATGCATCATTTATATGTGTGGGTATCTTTGCGAATTTGTGTGAAAGGAACTACTGTGTCAAAAGCGTTGTAGTCTTATTTGTTTTAAGTTTATTTCTTTCTTTCTCCCATGAAAGAAGGAAAAGAGAGACAGAGAGAGAGAGAAAAACACTCCCAACAGGGTCTTCACACCACGATCCTACTATGTCCAATCTCAGGCAGCCAGGATCACAGGCATGTGCATGTGTGTGTGCCCAGTGTACATGAGGAGACCTCAAGGGACTTGAACCCCATACTTTCCTGTATGATCTCAGCATTGTGGAGCATAGTGTTACCACTGTATCACGGCAGCTAGCCTGCAGTCTCAATTCCTGTGTAAAAGGCTTTTATGAATTTCTACTCAGACAATGTGCAATTATCCACACACTAACCTGCATTAGTATGTATTATTTTATCACTAATCTAAATGCAAATCATTATTCTAATTATTTTAATTTATCTATAATTATTATTGCAGCTGAATATTATGCCTAATGCTCATTCATAGTGGTGCCTAAAGAAGGAGGGCCAGGTGGCTGGATGATTGGCAGGCAGGGGGAAGGCCTACCCCTAACGCACATAGTAAAGGATACTCGAGACTCGTGGCAGCAACAGCAAGGGAGAGATTTAGACAGCCTTTCCCTCTGTTCTCCATGTGTCATGACCCTCGGATTGCTCAGGCTCTGCCTCTTTTGTTCATTTCTATATTAAAATGTCTGCTTCAGACAGAGCTGCATGAGCAGCCTAAAATGAATAAAATCCCAACCATAGTTCTAGGAAAAACAGAGTAGACAAAATGGCTGAAAGTCATGCATCAAGCAAAGGACATGCATCCTTCTCCCTCACACAACATACCAAATATAAAAACAATAGGAACAGGCCAAAGTTATTGTATTTGGGAATTTATAAGAGGAGACTTAAGAAATCTTGTGTAGCGGGCGAGCAGATGGCATAGTGGGGAAGGCACTGGACTCTCACATGGCTGACCGCAGTTTAAGTCCTGGATCCAGTGGCTTGAAACTCACATCGGGCATGTGTGCATGCCCAAAACCCCAGGAGGCAAATGGAGGAGAAGAGATTGTGGCATGGCCATCCCCCCTAGGGGGGTGATTTCTCACTTTCCTTCTCTTTGTCTCTCTGGCAAGCAAAAGCACTCCATGGCAAAAACCTTCATTAAAAAAAAAGAGAAAGAAATCACATGGAAAAATGGAATCGAAGTGTGAGTTTATAATAGTTTGGTGCAAAAGAATTGTGAAACCCTTGCATAATTTTTTTTCATATAATGCATTTTTCCAAGTCATCGCCTCTTCTTCTGTTCGTATCACCCACTCTGTATATATATGGGGAGAATGTATAAAAGGAGGTTTCAAAATGTTCATGGACATGTATATCATGAAAACTATGAATGAACTTCAAAATTTTTGTATCAAAATAAACTCATACTTTGAGACCAGCAGTTAGCGTAATGGCTATGTCTCTGGACTCCCACGTAGTCGACCGCAGTTCGCGTCCCAGACCCGGTGGCTTAAAATTCACACCAGGTGCATGTGCGTGCGTGCCCAAGATCCCGAGAGGAGAATGGAGGAGAATGGATTGCGGCGTGGCCATCCCACCTGGGGGGTGATTTCTTGCTTTCTATCTCTCTGTCTCTGTCTGTCTGACGAGCGCACGCGCCCTATAGCAAAAACCTCTCCAAAATAAATAAATAAATAAATAAATAAATAAATAAATAAATAAACTCATACTTTAATTCCATTTCCACAAGGTTTTGAAGCCTGTGTGTGCGCAAAAACATTTTGCACTGCTATGTTGGTCTAGAGTTAAATTAAAATGTAATCTGAGGCTTTTGTGATACAATACACTGAATTGAACATAGGTGTTTACCTTTCCAAAACAAATAAAAACAATTATTAAGAAGTATAAAGTGGGGGCCAGCAAGTGGTGTGGTGTTTAAGGTGCTGGACTCCCACATGGCCTACCGCAGTTTGAGTCCCAGACTGAGTGACTTGCAAATGATGCCAGGCATGTGTGTGTGTGACCCAAATCCTGAGAGAGTAGAGGAGAAGGGATTGCTGCGAGGCCATCCCCACTCTAGGGGGTGGGGGTCTCACTTTTCCTCTCTCTCTCTCTTTCTCTCTCTCTCTCTGTCTCTCTCCAGTAAGCACATGCACCCTATGGCAAAAACCTTTTTAAAAAATGTAAGAAAAGGGAAGAGTAGCGCCGCAAAGATGGGGGAGCCAGAGCAAAAGAAAAAGATCCCTTTGGTTCCAGAAAAGTCTCCTGAAAAAGAGAAAAGCTTCTCAAGCCCTCAAAGCCACCCGAGCACTTTGGGCAAGAAAAGAGCAGAGACAAGAGAAAGGGCCCAGATTTAAGTGACTGGAATCATTCTTAAATGATTCCTGGTGGCAGAAGGGTGGCATGGTATATCTCCGACGACTTGAAGTGAAACCTCATGCCTTGGAAATGCCCGATAAACATTCATTGGCCTTTGCTGTGCACATCAAAAGGACTGATGGGGTGAGTTCAGTGGTGCAGACCATCGCAAGGCTGTGTCTAAACAAAACTGTCAGTGGTGTTTTTGTCAAAGTTACTCCTCAAAGCCTAAAAACACTGCGAATAGTGGAACCTTCTGTGACCTGGGGATTTCCAAATCTGAAAGCTGTCTGAGAACTCATCTTGAAATGTGGGCAAGCCAAGGTCAAGAATAAGACCATCCCTCTGACCGACAACACAGTGATTGAGGAGCATCTAGGGAGGTTTGGCGTCATTTGTTTAGAAGACCTCATTCAGGAAATTGCCTTCCTGGGGAAGTATTTCCAGGATATCTCATGTTTCTTGTGACCTTTTCACCTTTCAGTGACCCGTCATGCCACCAAGAACTAAGTGGGCTTCCTCAAGGAAATGGGTCACCTGGCTATCAGGGTCAGCTCCTCAGTCAGCTCATCCGCCAGCTGACCTAGATCCAGAATACCTGAAAGCACAGTGTGTTGAAAGCGTGTGCTTTTGACTTTTTGAATTGTATCTTCAGTGAAGATTATTGTCTGGTCCAATTTCAGAAACTGGAAAGGAAGAGTCTTGAAAAAAACATTAGTTTATGTTTGTAACAGGAACCCCTCATCACAGCCCAGTTACAAAGACAAATTCCAGCATTTTCCATGTTGGCTGTTGCCTTCTCTGAAATTCAGCATATGCCACCGGGGAGGGAGCCCTGCTTCATCACATCTATCCTGGGCTTTAAGGTTCTCCAAGACCCCCGCAGGAGTGGACCAAGCCTGAGGCACACTTGAAACTGGGGCCTTGTTTTGAAAGACTTAAAAAAGAGTTTAAAGAAACACACACACAAAGTAAGAAAAGGGGGGGAAAAAAGAAAAGAAATCTAAAGTAAATTCATTCTTAAGAACAGTGAATGTGGTAAGGAAAGTGGTCCAAAGAGTTTGTTAAATTCCTGGAATGGGGAGACCAGTAGATGGCATATGGCTATGTCGCTGGACTCCCATGTAGTAGGCCACAGTCCTGGATCAGGCAGCTTAAAACTCACACTGGGTGCGTGTACATGCATGCCCAAAATCCTGAGAGGAGAATGGAGTAGAAGGGATTGCAGTGTGGCCATTCCCCCCTTGGGGGTGATTTCTCACTTTCTGTCTCTCTGTCTCCCTCTGTCTCTCTGGCAAGCACATGAGCCCTATAGCAAAAATCTCCCTAAAAATTTTTTTTTTTAAATTCTTACGATGAATGTTGATAGACTCAAACTGAAAGATAAAGCAAAGTGGTGAGCATCACAGCCCAACTACTATGATTCGAATGTCCCTGCCCATGTTGAAATTAAATTGGCCGTGTAAGGGTATTGGGAAGTGCAACCTTTAAGAGGTGACTGGGACATTAGGATCCTGCATTCATCAATGGATTTATGCTGTTTAACATAAAAGAGTACTGCCATGTAAGGCAAATAAAACAAGTTTTCTATTTGAATTATCAAATAAAATATATATGATAATGTCTTTGACTGAACTGATATGCAATGTATTCGTGATTGTTTAGAAGACCTCATTCTGGAAATTCCCTTCCTGGGAAGGCATTTGGTACGCTTTAATGATACAAAGTGATTGAATGTAATAAATAAATAGTATTTTTTTAAAATAATTCATTTGATATGTTTAATGATACACAGTGATTGAATGTAATAAATAAAGAAATAATATTTTTTAAAATAATGCTGCTATCTCAAGAACAAATTAGTGGGGCCAGCAGGTGGCACGGTGGTTAAGGCTCTGGATTCCCACATGGCCAACCGTGGTTTGAGTCCTAGACCCGGTAGCTTGAAAATCATGCTGAGCATGTGTGCATGTGTGCCCCAAATCCTAAAGGAGTATAGAAGAGAAGGGATTATAGTGCTGTCATCCCCCCAAGGGATGATTTCTCACTTTCCTTCTCTCTTCTCTTTCTCTCTCCTCTCTGGTGAGCACATGCTCCCTATGGCAAAAGCCTACAAAAAAATTTTTTTTTTAAAAAGAGTCAGTTAGTTATGGAAGAAGTAGTTTCCTGATTTATAATTTAAAAAAAAAGAAAGAAAGATGAATTTATCTCCTCCCTCTCTTTCTCTTGCTTATTCATCATGGGACAATACTCCCCAGAGTCCAATGCCATGCTCTTGGACTTCCCATCCTCCAGAACCTTGAGCCAATACACTTCTGTTATTGATAGATTGATTACTCAGTCTTTCATAATTTTTTATAGCAGCAGAAGAGGGACAAGATAGAAATGAATTTCAGGCTGCAGCAGAAGTAGAAGCTGTTTTCATGGAAGAAACATTCTGCTCTCCAGTTACACAAAGTGGAAGTGGATGACATAAAATGAGATGATTTAATGAAGAATTGTGTGAAAAATGACTGAATATTTATAGGGGCTCTACTTCCACCATCTCTCACTCCTTCCAGTGGAGAAATATGTCTCTGAGATGAAAATGGATGGTGTTTCTCTAAAGGAATTGAGTGGCATGTCATAGATGTATTGGGACATCAGAATGGGGGAAGTGAGATTGGTGCCTGTGGTGGAATGTGAAAATTACAAATGTTCCCCTTCCTGAATCCATAACTTTGCACTGACATTGCAGATCCTGCCTTCAATACACAGTCTATTTCTTTTTCTTGCTTCTCCTGTGTGACTTGCTTTGGTTAACAGGACATTGGTGAAAGTGGTGCACGCAAAAAATGGCTAAGTGATTGTTCATTGGTGCTTAAACTCTTGCTAGTCTTGGAAACCTGTTGCCACCATGTGAACAAACTGGATGATGAAAGGCACATGTCTTAATCATCCCTTTTGCTCCAACAGATGGCCAAGCGAGTCCTAGAGCAGTATCACCAAGAGCAGCTGACCACAGACAAATGAGTAAATTCAGCTG